ATGGGTGAACTTTTTTCATTATAATCTAATTATAATACCAAAACACACCTCCATTCTAAAAGCTACCCACCTCCAACGTACGACCACCCCTCACTGGGCATGATCTCTGAATGTCTTTATAGCTTTAAAAGCACAGCGAGAAAGTTTTATACCAATCATAAATGAAGTAACTACGTAACCATGTGATATAATTGTAACTATGTGTGTTTTGAGAATATAAATATGCGTATGTTTGTAGGCTAGGTGGGCATGTTAGGAGGAGAGATCCCCCATGCACCCAGCGCTGAATAAACCAGTGTTGGCTTTCTAACTTGCGGTTCTGTTTGGAAAGTTTTTATTGCCATTTCAGCGGTAACCCACTCAAGGGGAGAGCCCAGCTTTGCTTTCTGGCTGGCTTCAAACTCTTACAGGGACCCAGGCAAAATGGAGAACAAGATCTAAACAACGGAAAGCATAACCAGAGCTCTGACTGAGGGTTGTCAGGGTTATCTGAAGCAGTTGAAGAGATTATCTGTGGCTGTTGTGTCACCCTCGTGATGAAGCCAATAAACCATGGCAGAGAAATAGCCCCCAGGGCTGGCAGCAATGATGTGTTAAACTGCCCAGTCCATAATCCCATAATGACCTTGATTCAGCTTTGTGGGCTTGAACCGATGGCAACAACAAAGCAGCAGCTAATGACTTGGTTTCTGTGAAGTCAAGGTCAAAAGTCAGTTTCCATGGAGCCAAAACTTGACCTTTTAGTTACAGTGATGATCATTTATAAGGCCCTGCTCATCTGTTGAAGAACACAATAACCATGAGTTTTTTGGGCACTAACGTGGAAAGAAACCTGCAAAGTATACCTGGAGGTGGGGGTATACTGCAGTAGCTGCACTGAGGATGGTGGATAAATAACCATTGCCCTTCAATGCCTTCAGACAAGAGACAGCTACCCCTCTGATATTTTTGGAAAAATAATGATTCAGACTCTATTCAATCTCAGTCTTATTTATGTAGCTGAGAATAATCAGGTGTTATATTAAAGAGCCGGGCAGCAAGTTCTGTTCACAGTTGTCTCATGTACTGATAATTGCAGCAAGTTCCAATCACCAGCAATGTCAAAAGTACTTTATAGATCTTCAGTGTTATTTGGTCAGCTCTCTAAATCCCACCCTCTGTGATCATTATCTTCAAGAGTCTCTTGTCTCCGCGTTTATATTTTTACTCATCAGTGCTGCTCACAAGTACCTAATCATGCCACATCCTGCCTGCAGTCACCTTACCCCTAAGGCAAATAGCTCTGTACTTGCACACCACCTCGAACTGCAATCAAACAAATGAATTAAACATTGCAGCATCAGCCAACAAAGCGGCAAAATATACACAATTCATCCTTGGGAAAAGTGGTTTGTGTGCTGGCACATGACGCACACCTATGTCTACATGGTTTAAAAGCTGGTTTTATGTTTCTGAGATATATAAGAAAAGAGAACAAACTGAATTCCTCTCTATATCCCACCTGAATAATTCTGGATTTCAAACTGAACAGTTATTGCTGATATCAAGCAGATAATCAGCTATAACTGTCAAAGACCACACCTCCAACCTGCTGTACTAAGACAGACACAAAAAATGTGTAGACGTGTGTACGCATTTCCTGCACCTTGTATTAAAAAACCCCCGAACAACTTGCCTCTGTTGAGAGCATGCCGGATGACTCTTCACTGACCAGTGCTAGCAGCCTGCGATGCATCTGTTCCTCAGCCAACAGACTTGGTAAGTCAGCTCCTGCTCACCTCTGTATGAGAGGCCACCTTCAGTTTGTCACGTAGTATAGCTCTGTGTAGCTCAAAGAACTGTTTCATATACAGTATCATTATTATAATAATATCATAGACCAAAATAAAAGGTATGCAGTAATTTCACAAAAAACCCCATTAATTTTAGTGTTTTATAATCCAAGTCTATGAAATGTTGAATATCGCCAGAGGATACATTAAAAAGTGAGACACCTGTTCTGCTGTGAAGCATTCACATTAGAACTAATGGAACATGCATCTTGACGGTATTATTAAATATGTCTTGAAATAGAAATAAACTATCTTGGAAATCCAGTTAGGTCTAAATAACCCATTTAGTAAATACACTTTCCTTCTTACAAAGAAATTCATTGGAGGGCTTGCTTTCTTACTATAGGCTTGCTTTCATTGGGGAAAAAAAAATCTCTAGATCCTACTTCCCAAAGGGACTGATAGTGTCAGCTAATTTACTTCATGATCAAAGGGGAGTGCCTCTTCACCATCTTTTTAACATGAGATAGTTCATGATCGCTGCTTACCCAGCAGCATAGAAAAGATCACATTGTTTAACAGTAAACGTAGGTCCTGAACTATGGCAGCATCTACTGCGGAGGAGGGATGGTAGCATTGTTACCCAGGAGGAGGGGTACCAAGAGGGAGCTTTATAAAGCTGTCAAGCCAGCTGGGCTGTAGAGACCAGGTCTTGCCTGATGCTGCCATTTATTTCTGGTTGTTTCAGCTTTCTCTCTCCTCAAGGACCAGGGATACTTTTCCTCTATGTTGCAAACTCTCCAGGTAAATGAATCTATTGGGCTGTTTTGTTATCATCTACCACACAACCGAGGCAACAGAGTGTAGGTCTAGCTGTAGAATTATTTAAGGCAGCCATGCAAATTTGGATTCTTTCTTTCTTTTAACTGAAGTAACTATTTTTGCTTACAGCCTAGGAGCTACCTAAAGAGGGACTGTCTTCCACTTCTTTCATCCCCTGACCTAGAAGGGACTCCATCACTGTGGAGCTTTTAAGGCGCTATTTTGCCGGAGATCATAAGCAATCCTTCCTTCATTCCTCTTCTTAAGAGGACCCTCCCTTAATTATATGCCATTTCTGAACCTAAGCTCAGGTGTCAGGGCAAAACACAGGGTAGAACTGGTCTGCAGAAGCTGTGATGAGAAAACATGAAATTAATTCTTGGCTTTGAATTCAAGAACCTCTACAGGTCTTCCAGAGTTGCTTAAACATAAACTGTCTGGCCCTATTCCATATCTGCTCAGTCCCCTTGCATGGTCAGATAAATTTGTTACCTAGTTTTTATGATAAGCATTCCTGTAGGGTGGCATACTAGATAGAGGAGTGGCCTCTGAAAACGTGAGTTTGCCACTCATGAATGACAACAGGAAAACCACTCCTCTGCCTCTGTTTTTGTCCTCTTAACAACACACCAAATCATGACCATGTTACATTTATTACTATAAAAACACTTCACATTTTGTAATAAAATGTGTAAGAAATTGGCATCTTCTTTAAGTGCAGAGGAAATGGTCCATTTAATGTAAAAACATGGCTGTGAATCGTAAAGACTTGATCTTAAGTCTTGTCACCCAAAGTCCATTCCCAGCTAGTGAACAAACATTTGAACAATCTCACACTCCATTAACAATAATCTCGCTATGCCTAATTCCCTTCATTTTGTACATCGTGCAAAAAAATCTCTTTTTGAATTGTTTTGCAGTTGACAATTAATACTTTAACAATTACAGTTCTATGTGTGCTCTTGCTCTGGCTACCAGAAATCCCAGTGGCAGATACGCTACTCAATTTTGCCCGAGTTGTTTAACATCTTGAAGACTTTAGTTACAATAATTATTATAACACACAAAAGTTAAATTAGCATTTGATAAATAGGTTATTAAACAGACTTCATACATTGTGATAAGTAACAAATAGCTAAATTAATATAACATATATAAAAAAGGCAAAAAACTTATTTAAATCAGAACCAGCGGTAGATTCACAAAAGTACGGATAGCTTGAATTTAAAACATGGTTAAGATTTCACCCCACATTGTGAAGAAAAACTTGGGGAACTGGTCTTACTAGTCAACATTTCTATAAGAAATACCAAAGTCACCTTTCATTGCATTGCAATAGGTAGTGATGATGGTCACAGTTTATGGTTTTTTCCTGCATCTTGTTGCTCTGAGATACGGAAAAGGATGAACATATTATGCGCATTTTGGTCATTCTACACCATGTACTTGCTGCAATGTGATTAGTGACCATCATATATTGCTTGTCAGAATCTCCATTACTGAGATCTCCATCTACTTCTAAATGTAGCCAACTGTGGGAAAAAGCATGGTCTATAGTTGATTGAATGCAGCAACACTATATAATAATATAGAGAATAGAAGGAAGAAACTGAATTTCTTGATGACAAAGCAGGGACAAATTTAGAAGTCTAGAACATAAATCCTTGTTATGTTTGTCTACTTTTGTAGGTATGAAGATGTAGACTCCACTTATCTCTGAGTTATCCTGTCAGTTCTTGTAGTTCAGTATTTGCATTCTTCTACTTCATAAACTCATTTGTCCTTTCCTTAACAGTATCAGGTCAAACCACTGCCTGCATAAATATACTGAGCTTACTGTTCAGAAGCGATAGTGTTACATGTATAAAGTCTATATATTAAAAACCAGAACATTCACTAGTCTCTTTCTGATGCTGTTATTCTGCAAATACCTTTAGTACCAGGAGGTAATGTTTTTTCCAGGCAGAACAGTAATTTTTAAGTTAGTAAGGTTTTTTAAGATTTTGATAGTAAAATCTAGAGTGAAATGTGTTGCTCTAAGACTTGGCTTAAGACAGAATGGATTCTCTTTCTGTTACCTCAACAGCACAATAACATTGAAACATCACTATTATTCCCTCTTATTGTGAAAGAAAAATACTCCTTGATGAAAGAAAGTTACTGCACATTTCTCAGCAACTATGTGATGCTCATGTAACATTCCCCTAATGAGACAAAACCAGGAAGACCAAGAAGTCATGTAATGACAAACCCAAACTATACATTCACTTAGGAAAAGTTTCGTGTTTGAGATGTTATTGCACTCCTCTAGCAGGTTTGTAACTCCACATGTCTGTCTCTCCTTTGTAGTAAGCATGGTATCATCCTTCTCCGCATGGGCTGTGGATCCCATTTCTGAACGTTTCTTCAGAGCGTCACTGCACTCACAGATCGCCGATGGCTTCCATGGTTAAATTTGTTAGCGTTATCTTTAGTCACTTTGCCACCCTCCTGTCCATGAGTTGTTACCCTGTTGGGTACAAGGGGGTAATGTGCTGAAGAGTCTGTAGCAGTAGATTCTTCCTCTGCCCACCTATTAAAGAAATAGTAGCCCTCTTCAGGTGTCTGTTTCCCGAGAGGATTCAGTTCAGAGGCAGAAAGTCCCTGACATTCTGTGTCCCCATGAGACACATCTGCTGCCGCCAGATGTAAAAATGGTGACACACATAAGTGGCTGATGTTTTGTTCAAGGTCATCATTAGATGCAGGAGATGCTACAGGTGCACCAGAAGTAGTTTGCTTTCTTGATCTCAATTTCTGGATTTCAAGATCCTGTTGCCCTTTAGGAAGCTTATCTAGTTGCTGTGCTTTCAGAGTCAGAGACGCTCCAAAGGTTCCTTGCAGAGCAAAAATAAAGAACCTGATGAAAGAGGAAGAGAATGCATTGTCTTACCTGTGGGTTCCTTCCATAATCTGCATCACATAACACAAATCCAGTTGCTAATTTTCCATTGCCCTACAGGCATCTGGTAGACACCTTATACCTGGTAGATGAAGGCTGACTCCTGAATCTTAATGTGACATGCAACTATACACTTATCTTGACCTCTATAGAGTCAACTGCATGGATAGAAATACTAAATAAACAATAGAACCATTTGATTGCTGAATAGCGCAATAAAGATACACCGAAGCTCACCAAGAGATGCAATATTTGAGGAGACTGAGGTTATATTTATACTGCTAAAACAGGCAAAAGAAGGGATGTTAATTTGGTAGATATCATAAAACCAGAAATTTAAAAACCTCTGCTTGTGGCTTTGCTCAGGAACCAGGAAAAAAAAAAAAAGCATCCTACCTGCCCTTTGCAGGACAGAGAACTTATATAACTATATACTGTATGCAGTGAGAGAGCTCACATCCTCTCTCCACGTCATGTCAGTTTTGTCTGAAAACCATCTTTCTAATAGGATTTGACCTTTATGTACATGGCCTCAGCACACATTTTAAAACAAACATGGGGACTCTGAAATTGCGTTAATAAAACTGCCGTCTTCACATCCTGCTGCTAAATGTACGCATAAATAAGTATAACAAGATTAAAAAGCCCAACAAGCAAGACTAAGTACAGAAAGGGCTTTTAAGCCGATGGATTTCTCAGGCCTATCTGCACATGGAGGAGTGGGTAAACACATTCTCGGTGTGGCTGTGCTCAGGCTGATCAATCCCATAGCATCCCAGGTCTGGGAACTGTGCTGTTGCTAGTTACGGTTAGGCAGGTAAGAGCACAACTATAGAGAGCCCAGGTCCATCTGTGTAGATCTGGCATGGATCATATTGTCCTCTGTCTTTCCCCTCAAGTTGGCTCTGTATATTCTGTGCAAGTTGCAGGTGGACCAGACAGGAGGACAGAGAAGGAAGAAGAACTATGTCTTCCATCCCGTGAACATCTTTCACTTGCTCCTGCCCTTCCCACAGCCCTGCAGGGTGCGAGACTCAGTTGCCTGTGGGGCCTCTGCAGGGCTTCCTGGCAGATCACCGTCTGCCTTCCACACCTGGAGAAATATATCTGGTTAATATGTTGAAATCCTCCAAGAGACACAGCGCCTTCCCTTGCCAGTGAATGAACATGAAATTCAGATCCCTTTCTTCTTCTCAGACTCAAGGGTTTTAGTACATGACGCTGTGCAGCTGTGTCCCAAAACAAAGTTCAGAGGCAGTTTGCAGATGCGCAGAGACGCACTGCAAAGTCCTGCCAGACAGTGCTCCAGCCCCCCAGAGGTCCTGCAGTGTCTCTGAAATGCCAGCTAGCACAGAAGGCAGTAGCAAAAGGAAGAACTGAGGAGGGCACGGATTTTAACAAAACTGCTTAGAAAGAAACTAGAATCTCAAGGCTCCAACTGGTTTCTGAAGGAGACAAGGAGCAGGCAGCGTGGTGAGATGAACCAAATGAAACGTAAAATTAAGTGCATTTTAACAAAGGGTGGTTTCACCTCTGCTGTGACATGCTGAACCAGCTAAGTTGTAGCAGAAACTGGGGGCTGGATAAGCTGTGAACTGAGGACTCTGCGGAAAATAATCTGGGGTACCTGTCCAACTTTGAAGATCTCAAGATACAAGTCTCTAAGCTCAGCATCCTGCTGAGGCAGCAATGCTCTTAGCCTTGTTGAATTCCCCAGATGGAGATATGAGTTCTCTAACCACATGTTTGATGTAGGTCTCAGTAGAAAGCTCAGGGTCAAAAATGACACCGTGAACGAGGGCTGACAGGAAAACAAAAATCACACAGCAGCAAAACAGCCTGGGAAAGGATGCCCTGCCTGGAAGACACGAGACCTTACTGAACTACGTGGTGTTTAGCCTGACCTGAAGTTATATAACGTAACATGAAATCACAAGAACATCTCAACTCAAATGAAGAAAAAATAATTTGAAGAAAAATAGTATCTAGTCTTAAAGGTTCTTGTTTAGACAAACTTAGGGCTCAGATTCCAGTGCCTTAAAGCACTTACAAAGTCAGATACAAAAATATTTTACTAATTCTTGCAATACCAGTGTGCTGCACTACTTCGTGGCAATTAGGATGAGGAGACTAGCAAGATAGTTAAACAAACCAATTTTTTTCATTGTCTAAGCAGAAACAAAAATTTTAAGTGGTGCAACTCAGACAAAGCATATCTGCTCAAAGAATCATTGAGGTATCAAGCATCAAAAGTAGTGAGGCTACCATATACATGTATGGGAACGGAATCATTACATTTTTCAAACCCAATTTTTTCAGCAACCTATCAAAATAGTTATCCCTCTCCAAATATTATTCGGCCTCACTTAAAGCTGTCTTTAACATAACTGATTTGTTGCACAGGGTAAAACTAAGATTCTGGATGCAGAAAATTAGTTGATATAGAAACCTGTTCTTACATTTAGCTTAGTAATGCACTGTAATGTACTAAAGAAACAGAACACATTTTGTAACTCTCAAAAGATATAGGAATATTCCAAAGACTTGCTTTCTAGTCTTGATCAGCTCAACAACATTGTGTTTATAATAGTGAGCCATTATGTAGCAGATTTGTACTGGTAAACTTTGAAGCATCCCAGAAAGAAAGGTTTTCCTGATGGGAAAACAAAAGCAGTACATATAGAGTGACTTATCTAGGGTTATATAACTAAATAATTTAATGGTTCATGGACTGAAAAGTTGAAGGCACCTGACTTCCACACTGATCACCTATCCCCATGCAACACATGTGCCCGACACCTTTCATATCTATAGGCATCATTATTGTTATTTCACTTAAATGCCTACAAATCCAGAAAAGGAAAAGCGAGAGGAACGCAGTGCATCATTCAAACCTTGGCAGGAGCGCAACGACTGGGGTGATAAGACACAGTAAGTAGAAGGTGGGGTCTGAAAGCTGCTTCTCCATAATCCAGTAGGGGTTGGTGGGAGGGTTGCAGGCCACGCAGACGCCATTGTAGATCAGAGAGAAGACGAGGTAAAAGACCACACTGCCAATCATCGTTACCACATGGAACAGGGTCTGTAAGCAGAATTGCAGGAAATGACAGGGATGCTTGTGAGACTGACTCTGGGTGTAAGACAGGAGGATACAAAGAAGGATTACAAAGAACATATCCAAAAGGTCCATGCTACTGAAAACTACAGCAGGACAAATACCTGGAAATTAACTTACAAAACAACTGCCAGTGAACACAGTTCTTTAAGAAACATGTCCTTATGTAACACTGTACAAAGTGCACACTGTCCTGTCCAAAGGCACAGTGTAAGCAAATTCTGTTGCTGTGCACACGAAGGTATTATCCTGAGGCTAATAAACAGTTCTGGCACATTGTGAAATCTCAGTGCACCTGTTACTTTTTGTGACCCAGAATTCAGGTAAATGACTGAAAGACAATGCCATGCCTACACAGTATGCTACGTTCAGAAAAGAAAAATACTCGTGAATAGGACAGGTCAAACACATACCCACGTTTTCATTTCTAGAGCCTGGTGCAAGAGAATGGTCAGGAGGGAGATGGTATTGATGGGGTTTCCAAAGGAAAACACATCTATGTCAGAGTCCTCATATGTCTAGAAAACAGATGGACAGACTGTGATGAACCCTGACTATTCAGAAGTGAATTTTTCTATTTTTTTAAGGAGGATAGGAGAATGAGAATGTTAATGACTTCAGTACTTACCAAATAGGGGACAAAGAAGCAAATGAGGCTCTGGTAGAAGGCATCCAACATTGTAATAATAAAAGTTGACAGCTTGTATATCTGCAGGAGTTTACAAATAACAGTCATAATGATGTGACACACATCTCTAGTCTGTCCTGCAGACATAATTGCTGTCTGTTTTTCTTCCATTCAGACTATTGATTATAGCTAACTGGTCTCCCTTCATGAGTAAATGCCTCTTGAGCAGCTGATTTAGACCAAAGGCTTATCTCTGAACAGGCATTTTTCTCTGTGTTAACTAAAGACAGACCTTAGGAAGAGTAGCCAGTCAACTAAGTGTCTTAAAAGCTCAATGTCATGAACGCCCCAATCCCTCCCCAAAGAACCCCATTCCTCAAATTCTTTTTCAAACAAAGCTCTCCCTAGAGCTATTAAATTGGTCAAAAAGCCTTTCTGCTAAGGCTTCTTCCATTGAAACATCTATTTTGTGCTATTTTAATTTGACTATTTGTCATATTTAAACTTATCTAAAGCTGTGGCCCCACATGTCACCTGTGGAGTGGGATGCATTATTGGAGCGACAGAAGGCTGGGCTCCCGTTTGTTCAATGCAGATAAAAACCCAAAGCAACAACAATGACCTCCTCAAAATGAAAAAACCCATATATTTCACATATATGTGAGGTCCAAGAGCTCCTAAGAAAAGGGGTGGAAAGTTCTACAGAGAATCCTCAAATTTTGCACTCCCTTGCCTAGGTTTTTCAAAACATCATTAAACACAATGTGAACCACCAGTGTTCATCAGTGCTAGAAATCGCAGTCCAGGATAGTGAAAGTAGGTGCTAGGAGAAAAAGGAGAGAGAAGAATTCCTAAGTACCCTGCAATTATGTGATTTAAAACTAAGGCCACATCAAATTTTGCTCATTAATGTTTTCATAATTTCCTATTAAATATATTAAGGCAATTTGGCAATAAGTGCTACTGTACTGTATGTATATGCAAAACCAGGTATGTATGTCTGTATGTGCTCCTTGCAAACATACAGAGATCAGACTGATTCTCTAAACCTGACAGGTAAATTCAGGTAAAAATATAACATATTTTGTGCATATTTTCTGAGGATTACCAATACTGACTATTCAAAGTAAAAGAAGGAAATAAATGAAGCCATTCATGCCTGGAACAGCCAAGACACCAAACTGACAAAATCCTTTAGGTATTAACAGGTGTATTTCTGAACCTGAGAGTAGAAAAAAATGTCAGGTTGTTTATTGATTTAAGGGTTTGCGTTTTCTTGTCACTTTTTGCTGTGATCTTTTTAACAAGCTTTTCTTCTTCAGTAGGTTGAGACTCTTCTGAGAAGAGTTTAATCAGGGACCAGCTAAACTATTTCACCCTTGTTCATTACATTTCTCATCCTGTTTTATTTATTTCTCCTTATGCCTTCCCTGAGAAATTTTCTCTCTATATAGTGTGTACATATATACATACACACACGCATATTTGCTCCATCATCTCTTCAGATCAGAAACACCTCGCACAGGGCTGATTCAGTAGCACATCACTTCTTATAATGCAGCATGCTGGTATCAAACTGCATTGCTCCACGTATTTCATGGCAGAATAAAGCTTCCCATTTATATTTTCCAACTATGACCAAGCACCCAGCCTCACTTCCACGAAACAACTTCAATCATATGCTCCTTACCAGTTCTTCTGACAGCTACAATTATACCTTCTTTTAGAGGACATCAGTAAACAAGAAACGATAAATGGATCATTTGGTTCCAAGTAAGTCTAAACTCTTCTCTTCCCTCCCTCCTCACAAAACCAAAACCCCTGCGGTCCTTTGGCTTATGAAGCAGTTATTTCAGCGATCAAGACATACCTCTGAATTTTGTCCATTCTTGTACAATGCAGGCAAACCTAGAAGTGTTTCTGCAGAAACGTCTCTATCCAGGACTCCAAAGAGAAGAGGGGGCATCGAGGTGAAGAAGAGATTGAAAAAAATCATCTGCCAGTAATCTATCATCGTGCTGCCTGAGAACCCACAGAAGAACTGGTACCAGAAGAGCAGGTTGACGTAGCTCTACGGAGAAGCAAACACACACACAACATCCTGTTACAAGCTGAACTGTGGCTCCCCACATGCGCAGAAGCACATCCTTCATGCTGATGTGATTTCATTTCTCTTTGGGTTGTGGGAGTCGTGAAGCTGCACCTTCCCTGTGGCCTCTCCTTTACGTCCTCTTCCTTCCCCCACGCTGATCCCTGCTGTTACAGCTGATCTGGACCCTTTACTTTGCAATGCATAGATGGTCTATGTCTCTCATAATTGCACCTACGAGGTTTATGTGGTATATTGGTTATTAACAGAGCCTCCCAAGAATACATTATTTTGGTTAAAGGTACCGTCAGTAGACAGCTCTGCACTCTGTTCCATAAAGCAGCATATCTTAAGGGTCTACTTCACACCGATCCACTGTGATACAGCTTTTTAAAAGCCATTAGGTTTCTTTAAGAAAATATCAGAGAATAATTAAGTAAACTGTTCACAGCTCTGAGCACCAGATTTTAAAATCCTTTTTTAAACTGGTTGTCTGTGGGGAATCAAAGGCCTCCTGCTCCCTAATGGTACTGGGCAGATAATAGAGCAGCAGGATCCCAGTTTGGAGAGCTATTTCACATGGCAAATAAATATCCTTTGAACTCTAAAAGGATGCCTAAACAAGAAAAAGAAAAGTTTCCATTTCCAGTACAAAATTTAACACTGATAAGAAGTAATCCTTATTCAAAATGATTTTTAAAAAATACAGATACTTTGAATTCTAAGTAAATAGTCTTTCATGCTCAGAGTGTATTTCATGTCAAATGGACTTGTTTGCACAGTCTTGTAGAAACTGTATTATTATCAGTTTTTTCCATTTTACATTATTCTTCAATGCACACCTCATTTGCATATACATTAAATTTTTAATAAAAATGCCAGATATGACTGCATCATTACTTGCAAGTGGTTCCTATCAAATTAAATGCAAAAATTCAGAGGTTTCACAGGCAACCAATTCTTAGTGCAGAGTCATCTTCTATATTCTAGCACTAATAACCTGCTCTTCCTTATGCAAATTTTATTTTGAGGCTCATGGGTATTATTAATAAAGTTTCTTGAACTACTATATAAAAGTTACTAAGCCTTGAGTCCTTTTCCCCTCTGGAATAATGCTATTTCAAAATATATTTAGAATCCATATTTTCCTCAATGCTTTATGCAGCACATTAAGAAGGAGGTAGCATACTATAAACCTGCAAAGTGAAGAAACAGGAACGGTAGCTTCATAAAAAGTAAGAGAGTATAACCTGCAAAAAACAAAACAAAAAAACCCCCAAAGCCCTGGAATTAACCCTTACTAGGAGAAAAAAATTCCGGAATTTTGATAATCTTACCACGTTTTTGTAGAAAAAGTAAATCACCATCTTTGCTAGGCGAGCATAACACCAATGTCCATGGACAAGAAGCAATTTTTTTAGATGCTTAAATCGGGATATTGCAAAGTCACTAGCCATCACAGCCTTTGGTAAAAAGAATAGAAGTTAACTTACAATATATCTTTTCCCCACCCAATATGATTAATTTCAATGTCTGTGCTCAAATTTTTTTCCTACAATTGAATATTGTAGGAAAAAACCCAACCTTGCAAAAATAGTTGGAGATTTCTCTCTCTGCAGAACTCTCCAGCTTAGGAGAATGAGGAAAAGGGATGTGTGGAAAAGAATTTGGGGCAGAAAACACTGAAAGACAATCAACAAAACCTGGAAATGCTATAGCAGAGATGATTCAGAAACCAGATGCTAACCTAAGATTGGACAGGCATCTGTTAATTTTCCAGGCTTATGAGCAAACACACATTTGTCCATGCATGCTAATTGTTGGCTCAAACCACTCTTTTTTGGCTGGACCCATAATTATGAAACGCATATTAATTTATGACAGTAATGATGCCAACTTGCATTTTTAAGATGACACTCCAGAGTATAGGGCTTCTCTGAAACCTATTAAGCAGCAAAAGACCATGTGACAAAAGAAGAAAGGAAATAAACTGAAGGGATACCTGCATGCCTTCTTGGCCAGATATTCCAATTCCAACATCAGCTGCTTGAATCATACTTACATCATTTGCACCATCGCCTATAATGGGAAGACAGGAATGAACAATAAAGATCCAAGAAAAGGCGCTTAGTACAAAATGCCTATATTAGAACAAGAGAAGAAACCCAGCTATACTGATAAACAAAGGCTATTCTGTACTACCATGCATCTTAATTAGGGTAACTGATACTCAGCATCAAACAATCATGACCTCTAGGCTCTGATCTTGGTTGGAACATCCTCCTTCCCAGGAGACCTGGCTCCACCAAGGCTAAGCCCGACATTGGGACCAGCTGGGTGGTGGCATGGACACCCCTACATCATCAACATCTGCGCTGTTTTGTACGTTTCTGCTTGGTGAACTCCATATGCTCGGCGACATGCTTTGCAGCACCCTACCTCACTGAATTCTCCAAATTATATGATAAATTTGATTGCAGTTGACAATGTAACAACCCAATTTCAGGAGTTATTCTGCTCATTTCAACTTGCAGCGATATGTTAAATACGTAACCAAATTTCCATGGAGAGAACAGCCATGGCTGTTGCCTGCAATTTGGAGATTGTGAATTAGGTTAGCTGGTAAAGCAAAATAAATGAAGCGGAAGGCTTATATTTTGAACTCTAAGGCAAAGCAAGAAATTTTAAAATACATCAGACTCTTCCTTTTCTGTTTAGTCCACAGAGGTGTATTTTTTAGGTTTAAGTCATAAAAATCAATTCTGCAAGGATTTTAGTGGGATCACTTACCAAAAGTGGAGCAGGAAACTCAAAGCATTTCACATTATTTGGAGGTAAAAAGCAAATGAGTCAGTGCTTAATACCGCTCTGGGGATAACTCTGTTCTCACCAATTGGGAAAATCTGACAGGAAAGTGCTTTATGAAAAGACAAAACAGTGACTACTATTGACTACTTCCCGCGCCCAAAGCGAGGGCATTCTGGAGGGAATGTGTACATATGGAGGTACCTATCGACAGGGTCATCACTTTAAGCTGCCTGCGGACGAGCTTGACCACCATACTCTTCTGAAGAGGGGTGGAACGGCAGCAGAGCACCGAGCAGCAGTGCTTCGTCAGCGCCAGGAACTTCTCCTCCAGGCCCCCCTGGAAGATGATGTTTAGCGTCCGTCCGTCAATCACCAGTCCGAAATTGGGACTGGGGGCCTCAGAGGTTGAGAAAGATGTTGGGATAATGCCAAAAAATTTTCTCCGTGGATTTTCAACCTCATAATTCTTCCTCACCTCTTCCAAGGTTAAATTCAAGAGAGATTCACAAGTTTCCTGTGAGAAAACAGAAGTGGTTCTAGAAATAGTTATCTCCCTCTCCCTTTACAGCACAGCACCTTACAAAGTGCATGTTTGTATAATCATGCCAGTGGGTTTAAGCCTATCAGATAAACATTAGGGAAAACTGAGAAACGCACCAATTCATCAGATTGGGGATTATTTCAATGACATCATCAAATCCTTCAGTGAAAACACTGCACATCTTATCAGCTAGTTAAGTGTAGTAAGAAATTATTTTAAAAGGAAAGAAAATAATCTTCACATCAGGAGGACATATTTGTATTTGCAGTGCTGAGAGTACAGAAATAATAAAAAAAAATCCTTTTTTTCTAACAGAGATTTAAAAAATCTAGTTCTGATGTGAATGATGTGAGATACTGCAGCATTTGCTTCCCTCAGAAATAAACTGCAGTAGAAAAACAAGAGGTTCAGATTTTTCAAAATTACCCAGTAACTTTAACAGTTTGGACTTTTCTAGGTCACAAATCAGGTGTGTGTCACAGTTAGGACCAGAAATAAAGCTTCATATTGCCCAGCACTGTGCCTCAAACACCAGCTAACCCTTTCTCTCTTACCAAATTTGCCTCATTTTATGTCTGAAAGGGGACATCAGTCCAAACAACCAGAACTGACTTAGTATCAAATCTAAACAGATTTAATGAGAGCACTTTACTTCTCCCATACAGATCTCCTAAACTGGCACTCTACTATCAGAGAAAACGCAGAATGATCCAAGAGTTACTTTGCTGCCTGTTAGTACTAAAAGTCCTCCTTCGGTGGCATGGCGCTGAATACCTGAGGAGCTAATGACTCCCTTTTCTACCTTCTCTGTCAGCTTTATTGAGTGATGATTCAGTTCTAAATGTTATTTTCACTTTATGTTGCATAAGGTACATGTGTAGGATGTTTGCAAGATTTAAATTACACTTAAGTAGGAGGTTCTGGAATCAAATATACCCCTGACATCTAATAAAAAGCTGCATCTAGCCTGCACACTGAAAACCTCTAAAAAATATTGAGGAATCATCATCTTTCTGTGAACAACCCAAAAATTGTAGTGGAAATTCCCGGTTTGCCTTGGCTTGCCATTTTAAATGAATCCCCCAAACTACCTACTTGTGTTGCTTCTTCCTGGAAGATATTTAATTGTCAGTGTTTGAATAAAGTGCTGGGCTCAAAGGGGAAAGAGAGTCCATCCCACTGATGCCAGCTCCAGGGTTAGCTTTGGCAAAATTAACGGGTTACACGCTTTGTTTGTATTATTTGTTTTTCCCTGCTGCTGCCATTGGGAGACTCTTTCAGAACCAGTGTCCTCGGCTTCATTTTGAAAGGGAGGGAACTAAATCTTATTATGGAGCAACTCCAGTGCCCACTGAACCACACGTATTCACACCAGCATCCATACGCACGCAGCTGGCACCTGAGCCTGGATCGAGGGCCGTACAGGGTGCTGCTATAGGTAAGCGCACGCGCCTGTGTTTCCTGGAGCCAGGGTGGTCCTGCCTGCAGAATCGCTTCTCTGACAGAAACCATCTTCTAATTTCCATCCCAAATATATTCATTCTGCCTTCCGTTAAAGCAGATATGCGTATCAAATGAAATTACACATTGAAGCAAGGAACGTATTCTGTGCCAAATTCCATATCATCTTTGCGTGTTTCCCTATTTCCATGACATTAAAAGAGAGAAATATTTGCATAGGATTTTATTCTTGTTTGGAGAGCTACTAACTGCAGATAAAAGCAGCTAGAAAGTAGGCCATCTAACTGCTCTATACAATTGCCTATCACAAGAAAAACGGTCAGTATTTTAACTATATTGAATTAATCCTCACAATAGCTTTACAGAGAGAGGCAAACTTGTATCGGTAACCCCCCTATTCTGGGCAGAAAAACTGAGGCAGCCAAGACCAGCGACTCGCCCGGCCGCAGCAAGCGGTGCTGCCTGCCCTCCTCAGCCTCCTGCCCACCCGTGGGCAGGCTCACCTCCCGCAGACTCCGCTACTGCCCAGCACGGACCAGAAGTGCACGCTGCGATAAAAGGACAGAGCAGCACGCGGGAAAAGGGCATCCAGGGTTACCCGGGAAGTAAGAGGTCACTAAGAAGAAAATAAAAAAGGATATCACAGCTGGCATTTTGGACACTGCTTTTGGGCTTTAGAAATGATCAGGCCTGACCTCTCCTGAAGCGAATGGGTCTGGTTTAACCATAATGCCTCCCCTAAATCCGCCTCACAAGCCACCGGCCTCACCAGGATGCCCAGAGGGACGAGACGCTAGGCTGTGCACAGCGGTGGCCATTCTGCTTTCCCAAAGCAAGGCATGCTTTTCCTGGTACCCTGCTTAAGTTGCTTCACAACCTGCAAAAGCCAAGGTTGCTTTTCTAAAGCCTGTTACTTTCACCATCCTTAATGGCACCTACCCTCTTGGAACGTTAGGACTCTATTTTCTCTCTTCCGCTCAGACGGTTTTAGGAACAGCCATAGATTGCACCACAGATTGTTCACCGTATTTTGGTGAGTCACAGGAGCTGACAGACGTGCCCTTGAAGCGTTTATCGTCATTTTGGAGTGTGTTTGCTTTGCCTACTGCCCGACCTTCTTATTGCCCATGGAAATTCAGGGAATGTCTGTGCACATCAACAACTATGCGCACCACCATGGAATGTCAAGAAAGTGACTGTGTTTCTAACTGGCCCACAAGAACTATATTTAGGTTTCCATGAAGGTGAAGTGCTGCTTAGACAAAAAGATACTTAAGTTGTTCACTAATACATTTCTGATTAAGCCTAATCCTATTAAGGAACATGCGCCGAGAAAGTTCTGAATTTAACTAAATCTGCACCTGCGTGCTTTTCCAGACTGACTCGTACAGTACTTTCCAAATGTCTTCCTACAGATATCACCTAGGGTTAAAACATCATTGTGACTGAAATTTCCATTACAAGGTGAAAAGCCTTAAACTGTGTATTACCTTTTTTATAAAGCTTACTATTCAGGTAATATTTTTAAAGAATATTTTCAGTTGGAAAAATCATTATATTTTAATTGAATAAAATTCTACACAACTGTCTGGTGTTTCGATTCATCCTGTTACATGTGCTCTAAAGGGTTGCTGGCCTAACGCTGCTACGTGGGTGTTTGGCTGTTTTGTGTCGAATGCAGCCTAAAGCAGAACAGTGCCAAGCTGCAAGACACAAAGAAAGGGAAAGATAGCAAATTCTGTGCATTTCTCTGTACTCACTTTATTTTCAGTGTTAATGGTGAAGACAGTGTCTCTTTGCTTCAGGAGTTTACAGGAATATGCAATGTTTACTGCTGTTTCCTGCTTGTCTCCTGTCAACACCCAGATTTGTATCCCAGCTTCTCGAAGAGCCGCAATAGTGTCAGGCACTCCATCTTGCAGCCGATCTTCAATCCCGGTGGCTCCTGGGCAAACAGGAAAAGAAGGGGTGAACTAGTTTTCTTTCATTTGGAAATCATGTTGCTATTTTCTTTTTTAAGAAAAGGTCTTTGACTCCAGTTATGATCCTGAACTTATCAAGAGCTGAGCCAAGGTAGTGCCCAGCAAATAAACACACAGGCACAAGATCTGCATTTGGATTAAGATCTGAATGTGTCAGCAATCAAGTTCTGGCTCTTCATTTTACTCGTTGCTAGGACAATACATTTCATTTCTTCTTAATAATCCAAAATGACAATGTACTGGCAGAGGAATTACACCATATGCATTTTCAAAGTACTGCATTAAGTCCCATCAAAGCAACCAGAAAAGATGGACTTTGACTATTTAAATGAATGCTATCCCTATTGTCAAGTTAGATGCTTCACCCATCAAAGGGAGAAGAAACGGTACAGTAAGTTTTCTTTCTGAAAATGCGCAAACTTAGAAGCGGATGCCAACGCTCATCCTGATGGTAAACCACCATCTGAATGTTACAATACTCCTTGTCTCTTCCACTAGAGGTCAGTTTGAAGATGCTCTAACTGTGATACATTAAAGACAGATATTGATTTAAGCTGAAAGAATACTTTTTGTGAAATAAAGTAGGAAAGCGCACAGAGCCTTAAGAATTGGCAAAGGTAACAGATTCTGACAAGATCTACAGTATCTCTTATGTGGTTCTGCTTATGGCATTTACTGTTATTACTCTAATTTTTAAATTTCCACAGAGATTATGAGAAGCCATAACACTAATAGCTTGCAATCACAGAAATTCAGGATAATGGAGTATGGGCACAGATTGTATTCACAAAAAGATGAGTCTGAGACAACTCTGAAAATCAAAATCTTGAAGAACAAAATGTTTAGAAACAAAATAGAAAAGAAAGCACTGAAGTGCTTCATAATTTAACAGAATAGTGTTGTTAGACATGACAGTGACTGATGACACCCAAGTGCCAATGAATATAAGTTTTAATGTGAAATATCCTTTTACAAAGTGCAAACATGACAATGCAACAACAGCAG